ATTAAGGCTGCGGTCACATGCGCAGCCTAAAGCCCGGTTAAAGTGTGCCAGAGCCCGCTTCACGATTAGATCCGGGCTTTAGGTGCCGTCTGACCGCAGCATTGGCGCCAGAGCACAATTCCTGGACTCGTGCTCTGGCGCGGTTCAAAACTTTGGCCAGGGCCCGCTTCCCAGATGATGAGGGGGTCAGTGTGGCGGGTGGTGGGGAGTGGGGAGTGGGGGATTAGGGGTAGTCAGGACTTGATATTGCGCGTCACATTATGTCTTCCTGTGACACACATTTTCACACACTCCCTGCACTTTTGTATTCTCCGCTTGTGTTAAACAATTTGGACAAGTGTGATCAACGCGATCCGTACTGAGCTGTTAGCTACTGTAGCTGTTAGCTATTAGGGCCCTAATCTGTCATCATTAAAGGGCCCTAATCTGTCATCATTAAAGGGCCCTAATCTGTCATCATTAAAGGGCCCTAATCTGTCATCATTAAAGGGCCCTAATCTGTCATCATCAAAGAGCCCTAATCTGTCATCATTAAAGGGCCCTAATCCGTCATCATTAAAGGGCCCTAATCTGTCATAATTAAACGGCCCTAATCTGTCATCATTAAAGGGCCCTTATCTGTCATCATTAAAGGGCCCTAATCTGTCATAATTAAACGGCCCTAATCTGTCATCATTAAAGGGCCCTAATCTGTCATCATTAAAGGGCCCTAATCTGTCGTCATTAAAGGGCCCTAATCTGTCATCATTAAAGGGCCCTAATCTGTCATCATCAAAGAGCCCTAATCTGTCATCATTAAAGGGCCCTAATCCGTCATCATTAAAGGGCCCTAATCTGTCATAATTAAACGGCCCTAATCTGTCATCATTAAAGGGCCCTAATCTGTCATCATTAAAGGGCCCTAATCTGTCATAATTAAACGGCCCTAATCTGTCATCATTAAAGGGCCCTAATCTGTCATCATTAAAGGGCCCTAATCTGTCGTCATTAAAGGGCCCTAATCTGTCATCATTAAAGGGCCCTAATCTGTCATAATAATAATCTGTTCTTTTCCAATCCTTCTTTAACTGATAACAGTAGTTCAGAGATATCTGAATTTCTAAATTACTTTTCCAGTCTCTAAATCTTGTTATTGTTTTCATTTCGATGCCCCGCCCTCCACCGTTTCACCAATCAGAAAGTCTGTGATCCGGGCGCCAGAACTCACCGCGTGGAGCTAATCTCACTGGTAAAGTACCATGTGGAGCTAATCTCACTGGTAAAGTACCATGTGGAGCAGAACTAAAAAAGGTCTCGTTATGATTCTCAAATCATTAACGACAAAACAAGGAATAAAACCAGGATTTCTATCTTTGTGAAAAAGGTGTTGGTTATAGATTTGTTGTTGACAAAACTCTTGTCTATTCAGCTGTTATGGTCCCAGCTGGATTCGTCTGCATATCTGGCAACCTGAGTCAGGGAGAGTGGGAGAGGCTGCAGTACCACTTTTGGCCACATGTTTGCACACTTCTCCTTTAACTATAATAAATGAATATACATTGCTCAGAGATTTCATTACAACCACAACCTTTACACTGGAACAGAATCATTCAATTGAGTTTTTATTTTCTAAACCTGTATTTTTTTGTGACTTTGCATTTTTGATCATTTGATTTAAATGCAGCCAAGTAGTTTAACGTATTTTGGTGGAGTTGGTGAATATAAACGAAACACAGACGCCGTCCTTGATGGATTCTAAAGACTAAACGTCAGGCTTCATAATGAACGACCGCTGTCATCGTCTGCGTCGCCGCCGCAGTGAACCGCAACATTAGCGTGTGATGGATAAGCTAACACTTAGCTGTGGCACTGCCCATCGCAATTTGTTGATTCCACTCCAGAGCCCGACTATCTTTATGAAGCCAAAGTTAGGCCCATTATGAGGACGAGATGTGGATGCGGAGCACGGGGTCTGGACGAGCGGTGGGAGATTGACGGGATGTGACTGTGACGCTCCACTCATCAGCAGCAGTGACAGGACTCTGACTGATGAGGCCTGATGTGTGAACGAGGCTGCGACGGGAAGGAATGACATCATGGGCGTGTCGTGGTGAAGGCCGCGGTGGATCGGTGGTTAAAGAGACGTTTATTTATTCACAACCTTCCATGTCCCATTCACAGCCCTGTGTCCGCTTTGTGGTCCTGTGCGTAGCTAGCTTAACGTAGCCACAGAGTCATCCACTGTGGCTATAGCTGCAGGTGAAAGCCAGGTCCAATCAGACCTCTGAAGCTAAGCAGGGCAGGGATTGGTTAGCGCTGTGATGGGAGACCCCTGGGAACAGCAGATGCCACAGTGGGGCGGCTGTGGCTGTAAAGTGCCAAACTGTGGTTGTGTCCTGGTGTGTGTGTGAACGGTTGGTGGTGGCCCAGAGTGGTTGCCTTGTTTATGTCAGTGTGCCCCAGGGCAGCTGTGGCTACAACAATAGTTTATTCCCCCTTGTATGGAGTGAATAAATAATGAAGTGTCTTTGAGTGTCCTGAAAAGCACTGTATAAAACCAAAGCATTATTGAAATTATTATTGTTATGATTATTATCATCCAGCCAACGTCAACTTCACGCTACACCAACAACATGGAGCTCTTGAATCAGAATAATTAATCAATCCAGTGCAGGGGTGGCAATGGCTCAGTTGGTAGAGCAATGGCCTTTGAGCCTGAAGGTCATGGGTTCGAGGCCACCACTGATGTCTGCTGCCGTTGTGTCCTTGGGCAAGACACTTAACCCCACTTTGCCTGAAGCCCCCGCTGAAAGATCTCAGCTCCTGTGGACTCAGCACCTGCAGGAGGATCAGTGAGGGGCTGGTGCTCTGACTGCCACCCCCACCCAGACATGGACAAAGGGGAAGAAAATGGATGGACTGTCCCAGTGATACCTCCATCCACACACTTACTCACACACATGTCATTCAGCCAACTTCAGCTGTGTCTAATGAGCCGTTCACACCGGATCATGTGGCAAGTTTACCTCAAACGTTTTTCTCAAAAATGTCCAAAATGACCTGCGCTGGCGTGCTTGCAATACCACTCCGGGCCAGTGGGGGTGGACCCAGAATAAGAATGGTCCAAATCAGGGTGGTCCAAAAGTGGTTCTTGGTCCAAAAGTGGTTCTCTTCAATGTTGAATGTTGAAGGGAGTATATGTTTTTGGACCAGTCTAGTTTAGTCGCTGTGGACTTTTGAATGCACTCGTTAAATGAATGGGGCTAATGCAGCTGACACCATTTTGAAACTGGCCATAGACGGCGAAGGTGATGTCACATGAGTTTCAACGGTGGAGAAAGGAGTGACTATGTTAATATTTACAGTCTGTGGGTGATTCCCAAGTTAGTGATTGCATTTCTTGACCTTTGAATGTCTTGAATCAGCTTTTGTGGAGAATAAATTGGATCCTGTTGATATAAAGTAAAGACAATCATGAGCAGCATCTTCCCTGCAGCCTCAGAAGTGTCCGCTCTCCTGAAATTGAGAAACTTTTCCCCGTCTTTCTCTGATGACAATCTGCCGAACGCCTCCGGCTCGGGGCTCGCAGGTGTCACAGGCGATGTCAGATGCTCGCTAACCCAAAAGCAAACAAACATTGGTGTCGGCGGGGCCCAGACTTGGCACGAGCGTCCACTGGCTCCGTCCCGAGTCCCCTCCAGCTTCATCTGCAGCTCTCACAATAATTACAGCCTGGAGTCAGGAGCGTCCAACCGAGACCGCATTTCTTCAGTCTGGGTTTGGTGAGTTCTGCTCTGGTGTCGCCCAAGATGACACAGAACCTCTCTTTCTGCAAAACATTATCAAAGTATCAAACCTTTTCCACACTGACCCGTGTCTGTGGCGGTGCATGGATAGAAACACAGTGTGACGTTTTGATCTGCAGTAAAGTGAGTCAGTAAGTCAGGTTTATTTATTTAACCCAAAGCACTTTACAATCGTTCAGAGTTCAGATAATTATTCCATTCTCTCCCCACGGTGATGATGGAAGCCAGACGCCGAACACACCGGACCATCAAAGCCCCAATCAACACCATCCCATCAGTCACTCACCTACGTAGACACGGGGAGGACATGCAAACTCCACTCAGAAAAGGCCCTGTTCTGACCGGGATTCGAACCCAGGACCTTCTTGCAGAGAAACCACCGTGCCGCCAAAGTAAAGTCCGGTAAAGTGGAAAGAGGAGTAATTATTGTAGCAGTGACTTTTGAACTCCAGGGCTGAAAATGTCCTTATCACTGCAGCTGGATATGAACACTATCTACAGTATGTGCAGAATATAAGACCAGAAAGAGACCAGAAAGAGAATCCAGAGAGAGAGACCAGAGAGAGACCAGAGAGAGACCAGAGAGAGACCAGAGAGAGACCAGAGAGAGACCAGAGAGAGACCAGAGAGAGACCAGAGAGAGACCAGAGAGAGACCAGAGAGAGACCAGAGAGAGACCAGAGAGAGGCCGGAGAGAGAGAGACCAAAGAGAGACCTGAGAGAGAGACTAGAGAGACCAGAGAGAGACCAGAGAGGGACCAGAGAGAGACCAGAGAGAGACCAGAGAGAGACCAGAGAGAGGCCGGAGAGAGACCAGAGAGAGAGACCAGAGAGAGACCAGAGAGAGGCCGGAGAGAGAGAGACCAAAGAGAGACCTGAGAGAGAGACTAGAGAGACCAGAGAGAGACCAGAGAGAGACCTGAGAGAGACCAGAGAGAGACCAGAGAGGGACCAGAGAGAGACCAGAGAGAGACCAGAGAGAGACCAGAGAGAGGCCGGAGAGAGACCAGAGAGAGACCAGAGAGAGACCAGAGAGAGGCCGGAGAGAGACCAGAGAGAGACCAGAGAGAGACCAGAGAGAGGCCGGAGAGAGAGAGACCAAAGTGAGACCTGAGAGAGACCAGAGAGAGACCAGAGAGGGACCAGAGAGAGACCAGAGAGAGACCAGAGAGAGACCAGAGAGAGACCAGAGAGAGACCAGAGAGAGACCAGAGAGAGACCAGAGAGAGGCCGGAGAGAGAGAGACCAAAGAGAGACTTGAGAGAGAGACCAGAGAGAGACCAGAGAGAGACCAGAGAGAGAGAGACCAGAGAGTAAAATATAAAATAATAAGAGAGAATAAAATAAATATAAAAAGTAAAACATCACGGACTTCCACTTCTGCCCTATGGAGTGAGCAGTGCACCTACGGCGGCTTCGCGTAAATGTATTGATTAAAAAGTTTCTGGGTCGGAGAAATAAGTCTTTACTTGCTACAACACTTACTGGCTGCGCGAGCTACGATATGCCACCAAAAAACCAAAGAAGATACACTCAGCAGACTCTTCAGACAGCCGCAGTCTTATCGGCTAACGACTCGGCTAACACTCCAGCTAACGCACATGAATCGGCCGTAGAAGAGGTTAGCAACATGGCGGAAGCTACACTGCTAGCCACGGATCAACCGGAGGAGTCCCCTCTCACGGTACAAACTCTGAAGAGCGCACTGCAAACACTCAGGGAAGGCTTATCAGTGGATATTCAAACACAGATGGGGAGAATGAAATCCGATATCCAGAGACAAATCACCGCTCTGCGACAGGAGGCTAAGGCTGATGGTGATGCATTGAGACGAGAGCTATCGGAGCATACTAGCAGGCTAAATTACAACCATGAGGAAATCAAACGGGCACACATTGAGATTGAACAGACCCTCAATGATTACAGCGACAGATTGATCACGCTGGAAAAAGCACATGGATCGCTGGAAAAAGAGTACAAGAAAGTTTCTGAAAAATGCATGGACTTGGAAAATAGAAGCAGAAGGCAAAATCTACGTATTATTGGGATCAAAGAAGGTGCAGAAGGAGGTGATCCCCGTCACTTTGTAGCGCGTTTTCTGCAACAAGTTTTGGGGCCGGAAAACTTTACTTCCCCCCCGACAATCGACCGGGCACACAGAACCCTAGCCCCAAAACCAACACTAGGTGACCGCCCCCGTGCAATTCTTGCCCGTATGCATTACTTCACAGAGAAAGAAACAATCTTGAGACTTTCCAGAGAAAAAGGAAAGCTCTCCTACGATGGTTCCGTTGTACACATTTTTCCAGACATCTCCCCAGAGGTGGGCCGCCTCAGAGCCTCATTCAACCAAGTGAAGCCCAAACTACGAGACGCAGGAATCCCATACAGCCTGTATTACCCAGCGAAGATGACAATAACGGTGAAAGGAACCAGGCACGTGTTCACAGAGCCACAAGCAGTGGAGGAGTTCATCCGTAATATCGCACCAACAGCCAACGGAGATAAAGACGACTAAAGCAAGTAAACAAAGTAAAGGACTACTCTGGGAGCAAGACAGACAAAAAGACTGAATGCAATCGAAAGAAAAGAGGTTTGGCTTCTCGGACAGTGTTATATAAATATTGCAACTTTGTATAAGGTACCATCTTACTCGGGCGTTTATACTTTTGATATAACTTGGGAGGAATCTTTTATTTATTTCTATTTTAAGATGTGTGACTGCGTAATAGCAGACGTACATCTCCCAATTTATTTTTCCATGTATGTATACATATTATACATCTCTTTAGTTATTTGTAGTTATTTTACCTCTTTACTTTTGACTCGCTCCTAGATAGTTTTATTAGGTTAGACCCAGAGACAAACAAAATAGAAATAATGTTCTTAATTACTTACCAATAGCGAAGTTTAGTGAGAAGTTTTGAGAGTTAGTTTCCTCTCAGTTAAAGTAGTTAGTCCTTACAATCAGGTCTTTCATTTGGGGAAAGACAGAGAGGGGTGGGTGGGTTTATGTTCTGTTTTTTGTTTCTCTTTCTTTGTGTGTGTGGATGTGTATGGATGTTTTCCCATTCCCCCTTGTTCCCCCAAGGATGGGTCCAGACTACAAAGCAAACGTGAGTACTTCCAAAATATGAGTGTGTTACGAAACATTGTCAAATTTGTGACTTGGAACTGTAAGGGTATAAACGGAACTGTGAAACGAGGCAATATACTAGCTCATTTAGAAAAACTTGGTGCAGACATTGGTTTTTTACAAGAGACTCATCTGAAGGATGGTGATCACAATAAGCTGTGTAAAAAATGGATCGGACAAATATATCACTCCCATTATAGCGATAAAAGTAGAGGTGCTGCAATAATTATAAAAAGATCAATACCATTTGTTATGGAAGAAGTAATTCAAGATAAAAAGGGCAGGTATGTTATTGTTACAGGAACTCTTCATAACATCCCAATTACAATGATCAGTATATATGCCCCTAATATTGACGACAATCAATTTATGTTATCACTTCTTTCAGCTGTACCTCACATGGATACGCACAAAGTTATTTTTGGCGGAGATTTCAACTTGATACTCAACCCACAACTGGATAAATCTTCACCGAGAGCAGCAGCCCTGACAAAATCAGCCAAGTCCATTCATAACTTCATGAATGCCTGTAAAGTAGTAGACCCTTGGAGAGAGTTACATCCTAACAAAAAAGAATATTCATTCTTTTCGCCGGTACATCACTCCTACTCTAGGATTGATTTCTTCCTAATTGATCACGATTTATTACCAAAAGTACATAGCTCTGAATATAAAGCCATTGTCCTGTCAGACCATACAGTAGCCCAGTACTCCTTGAAATGTCTTTTGGATACAAATCAACAAAGGTATGGAGACTTAACAATTCCTTGTTAATCGACCAAAAAGGAATAGAAGAAATAAGAAAACATCTAGATTTATTTCAAAATACTAATGATACACCAGATGTATCAAAAAGCACATTCTGGGAAGCCCAAAAAGCCTACTTACGCGGGCAGATAATTTCATGGAGCAGTTATAAAAATAAAAAAAAGCGAGAAAAAGAAAGTGAAATATTAAACAAAATCGTAGAAACAGACAGACTATACCAAATTTCTCCCACTTCTGACTTGTATAATAAAAGACAGTCTCTGCAGACAGAACTGAATTTGATGTACACTACTGAAACGACCAGACTGCTAACACGCTTAAGGCATAAACATTATGAATATGGAGAGAAAATGGGCCGACAACTAGCATACCAAATAAAGGAACAGGAGGCTTCGAGATCAATAACCAAAATAAAGACTCGGACTGGACATATAACTATTGAGCCAAGGGAAATTAATGACACTTTTAAAGCCTTTTATTCTAATTTGTATACATCCGAATCCAAAAAAGACCCTAAAGTAATAGATAACTTTCTGAAGAATCTTGTTATTCCCCAAATCAGTGAAAACCACAAGAGTGTATTAGAAGAACAAATAACATTAACAGAAATAAAACAAGCCATACTTTCAATGCAGACATCAAAATCTCCTGGTCCAGACGGATTTACCGCGGAGTTTTACAAGACATTTAAGGACCAAATATCTCCGACCCTACTAGAAGTATTTAATGAGGCAATAACTAAGGGGACTCTCCCACCGTCTTTCTATGAAGCCAGCATTTCACTTATATTAAAGTCTGGGAAGGACCCCTTGGACCCTGGCTCATACAGACCTATTAGCCTTCTTAATGTAGATTATAAAATCCTAGCAAAGATATTAGCACTACGCCTTGAAAATATACTCCCCACTATTATTTTCAAAGACCAAACAGGGTTTATCAAAGATCGGCACTTGTTTTTTAACATTAGGAAACTATTTAAAGTAATCTATACTGGGAAAGATAAAAACACACAGGAACTGCTGCTCTCGCTGGACGCTGAGAAGGCCTTTGACAGGGTCGAGTGGGACTATCTCTTCTCGGCCCTGTCAGGGTTTGGTTTTGGCCCAATTTTTGTATCTTTGATTGAGTTACTGTACTTCCATCCTCAAGCCTCTGTCCGCACCAACAATACTCACTCTTCTTACTTTCCCTTAGAACGTTCAACTCGTCAAGGTTGCCCCTTATCCCCCCTATTATTTGCAATAGCAATTGAACCTTTGGCCATAGCCCTAAGAACAAACATGGGATACTCTGGCATAATCAGAGGCGATACTGAGCATAAGGTTTTGTTGTATGCAGATGATTTATTGCTCTTTGTATCAAACGGCGAGAAATCCTTGCCTGTTATAATGTCCACTTTGAGTGAATTTGGGTCAATATCAGGATACAAAACAAATTTTTCAAAAAGTGTGCTTTTTCCAATAATGAACGCCTCAAGACAGCTACCAACCTTTTTCAAAGCATCTCCATTCACAATATCAGACACTTTTAAATATCTAGGAATTACAGTCACTAAAGAGTTTTCAGGTCTTTTCAAACATAACTTTTCTATCCTATTTGATCAGATGAAACAGAACCTAGACAAATGGATGAATCTCCCGATCTCGATGGTGGGAAGAATTAACATTATACAAATGAATGTCTTGCCAAAATTCCTGTTCCTGTTTCAGTGTATCCCTTATTATATTACCAAGTCTTTTTTCAACAAATTGGATAGTCTCATTTCCCAATTTATCAATCAATCAATCAACGTTTATTTGTAGAGCGCCTTTCCTACACAAGGCAACGCAAAGCGCTTCACATCCCCTATCACATCATGCATAAATCAAACACATTAAGAGCACAAGATATATTAAAAACATTAAAAATAAAATCACAAAAATTAAAAACCTTTAAACATTAAAATCACAGATGGGACTAAAATCATAAATAGTCACAGTGCATTAAAAAGATTAAAGATAAAAACAAAGATGAAAAGATAAAATCATTCAGTTGTATATGCGCAGCTAAACAGAATTGTTTTGAGCCTAGATTTAAAAGATGCCAGAGTAGACGCCTGTCTCACATTCTCAGGAAGACGGTTCCAGACTCTAGCCGCATGAATCTGAAATGCAGTTTGCCCATGTCTAGTACCGACTCTGGGCACTAACAGGAGTCCAGTCCCTGTGCTCCTCAGAGTCCGGGTCGGTTCATATGGCACAAACATGTCATGGATGTACCTTGGCGCGAGACCATGGAGAGACTTGTACACAAGTAAAGCTGCTTTGAAGTCTATTCTCTGAGGAACAGGAAGCCAGTGCAGAGACCTGAGAACTGGACTAATGTGGTCGTACTTCCTAGTTCTGGTCAGGACTCGAGCTGCTGCATGTTGAATGTACTGCAGCTGTTTTACAGCCTGTTTGGCCAGACCTGTGAGCAGGCCATTGCAATAGTCTAACCGACTGGAGACAAAAGCGTGTATAAGAGTCTCCAAGTCTGCCTTAGACACTATGTTTTTAATTTTAGCAATGTTTTTTAGGTGGTAATAAGCTGCTGATGTTACAGATTTTATGTGGCTTTTGAAATTTAAGTCTGAGTCCATTATCACTCCTAGATTTCTGACCTGATTTGAGGGTTGTAGAGAGAGAGCCTGGAGGTGACAAATAACGCTCTCTCTTTGTTTCTGGGGTCCGAAAACAATTATTTCAGTTTTGTCGGTGTTTAGTTGGAGAAAGTTATTTTGCATCCAATCACCGATTTGCTGGACACAGTGAAGGAGCGAGTCCACTGGTTCATGCTCTCCTGCTGTCAGGGACACATAGACCTGAGTATCGTCAGCGTAATTGTGATAAGAGACATTATTACTGTGAATCAACTGACCTAGAGGCAACATGTAAATATTAAACAGAAGAGGACCCAGGATTGACCCCTGTGGCACTCTGCAGGTCAGGGCCAAGTGGTCTGAGGTACAGTTTTCGATCTCCACAAAAAACTTTCTGTCTTGTAAATAGGACCTAAACCAGCTTAGGGCGGTGCCAGCAACACCAACCCAGTCCTCAAGTCTCTGAATGAGGATGCCATGATCAATAGTGTCAAAAGCAGCACTTAAATCTCACAGAAAAAGGACTGAGACTTTTCCTGCGTCAGTGTTTAGTTTGATGTCATTTGTTACCTTTATTAGCGCGGTCTCAGTGCTGTGGTGGGGTCTAAACCCTGACTGGAACATATCATAAGCGTTATTGATTATTAAAAATTCTGTAAGTTGTTTATAGGCAACTTTTTCTAGAATTTTTCCCATGAAAGGCAGATTTGAAATGGGCCGATAATTTTTGAGTGCCAGGGCTTCCAGACTCCTCTTTTTTAGGAGGGGCCTGATGACCGCCGTTTTCAAGGCCATTGGGAATGTTCCAGATTCAAGAGACATATTAACTATTTGTGTAAGTGAAGGTAAAAGACTGCTCAGAACTGACTTGAGAAATCTAGGAGGTAATACATCCAGGCTGCATGTGGAGGAACTCAGACTAGTGATTATCTCCTGGACAGTTTCAATTTGTACTGGTGTAAAGTGCGTCAGCCCAAAAAGCCTCACTGGCGGTTGGATTATTATTTCTATCGTGGAGGTGATGGCGTTTTTGATACCTTGGACTTTGTCATTAAAGAACTGAGCAAACTCATTACATTTAGATTTGGAAGTAAGTTCTGATGGCATCTTAACAGGGGGATTCGTCAATCTATTTACTGTTGAAAACAGAACACGTAGATTGTTGCTACAGCCTTCAATAGTTTCAGAAAAGTACATTTCCCTCGTTCTACGTAGTTCCCTGTTAAAATTGCACAACGCATCTTTGAAGATCTCATGGTTCAACTTTGAGATTTGACTTTCGCCACTTCCGCTCGGCCTTCCGGCACTCTCTCTTCTGTGCCCTGACCGAGTCTGCTTTAGTCCATGGCGCTTTTTGCTTGTTTGTAACTATTTTAACCTTTACAGGAGCAATTGTATCCAGAACATTCAAAACAGTGGTGGTGACAGAATCAAGTAATTCATCTACAGTAACACACAACGTGTTCTCAAAGTTTACCCTCCCCATGAACAGTTCGCCTGTATTATCATTTATGTGTCTTCTTCTAACAACCGAAGATTCAGCTGGTGGTTTACAATCAAGACACATGTCAAAAAATACACAGAAATGATCAGACAGAGCAACATTGACCACATTTACATTTGAAATATTAACCCCCTTGGTAATTAACAGATCGAGAGTGTGTCCTCTGCTGTGGGTGGGGCCACTCACATGCTGAGTGAGACCAAAGGTTTCCAGCACAGAGCTCAGCTCTATTGCATATTGCAGAACCACATTTATCATGTATTAACATTTATTTTATGACTTGGATCGTTCTGCGCTCTGATTGGCTGATTTGCGGTCCGATATTTTCCCATCTCGGACCGTTACCATGACAATTGGTCTGCAGCGCATATTAGATTTTATATCTTTCCTCGGTTAAAAACAAATAATGAGCGACTGGGAGCATTCTCAGTGAATTCTATCATCAGGATGAGTTGGAAGAACCAGAGGAAGTAATAACAGCAAATAACCACCAAAACACAACTCCAACAGTCAAGAAGAGATTGACAACTTGGTTACAGACCAGAAAGGTAAAACCAGGACCAGGAAAACCAGAAAGGTAAAACCAGGACCAGGAAAACCAGAAAGGTAAAACCAGGACCAGGAAAACCAGAAAGGTAAAACCAGGACCAGGAAAACCAAGTGGGACATGAACATCACAAATATGTA